TTAGATGCTACCGTACATTTCTGCAAGACAAAAACAAGGCCCGAAAGCTTCTGCAGAGCTATGCAGCCTTTACGTGGTTCATACTTGACACATGTAAAGCCCATCAAGCATAAGCCTGAAACCAGATATTATACATATATAAATAGATATACATATATTTTTATACACGTATAGACCTCAAACGCTACACCCTGAACCCCTGAAACCCAGAAACCCCCACTCCGTGGTTAACTCCCCAAGCCCTAAAACCGTTATACCCTAAACCCTCAAGCTCAAAGATCCGTATACTTATTCTCTTGCACCTGAAACCCTTAAACCCAAGGGCCGTAATCCTTCAACCCTTGAGCCCTCAACCCTCAAATCCGAAAGCCCTTAAAACCCTTGACCCTTAACCTTGAACCTTGAGATGCATAGACCCTTAAGCCGTAAACCCGGAAACCATACTCCCTAAAGTCTAAATCCTAGAGCTCTGAAACCCTAAGACCCTTAGACCCTAAATCCCTCAACCCTAAACTCTGGTGCCCCACAACCCTAAAACTCTTAAGCCCTTAAACCGTGAAAACCTTAACAGTTTGTTGCCCAGGTCTTGGGATGCGGTCTGGCGCCCTCCGAGACACCGAACCCCTCCCGGGGGTGAGGCGCAGGGGGTGGTGATGTCGTTTGGCTAAAGGTTTAGGCTAGGGCATGAGGGGTACAACACAGAAATCCTTCAGTTCTAGAGAAAGTTTGTAGGATTTCATAGCAGCGGGTTGCGCTCCCCTATGTCCCCCTATATTATCCCTTATAGATCCCCTGCATGCATGTGTATATAATACCCGCTTTGAAGGGACTACTACCTCTTCTCTCCTATATTATCCCTTATAGATCCCCTAGATATATAGATACATTTGTATATATACATAAATAGATAGATAGATATATATAGATATACACATATATACATACATATACATATATATATATATTTGCATGTACGCGCTTTAGGGTTTAGAGTTAAATGGTCCATACATAGCCCAGTAAAGCCCCTAGAATGAACCCTCTGAGCCTTGTAGAAGGGTGCTTTTCGCCTAAACCCTAAACCCGAAACCTTGTGCAGGCGGCGCGCTGGAAGTTGCCCGCCACACGGGCGACCTGCTGCCGCAGGTGGGGACGGGCAATTTGCGGTGTATAAGGATCCCGTTGAAGGTGATAAATAGTGGATATTAAGGGATATGTGTGGATAGATATAGAGTTGAGGGTTTAGGGTTTGGGGTCATGGGGTTTAAGTTTTCTTTGGTCATTTTAGGACTTGGGGTCGGGGCTTTGGGATTTGGGATCTTCAGGTCTAGGGGTTCGAGGCTTAGGACTTAGAGCCTAGGCTTATCTATCTTGATTTTGGCTTCAAGACTGTCACTTGCCATGGGAATATGAAGGGTCAATGTCTGCAGTCAAGAGTTTCCCAACAAGCTTGCACGTCCCGCAGCTACATGAGCAACATTGACGGTATCTCATGTAGCCGGAGATTGCTGTTGCGTTATGTGCTTGGTCTTCGATGCTTGTGACTCATTTGCGAAGTTTGCTTGCTCTCAGCAAAGTGATTAGCATCATTGTCCCTAAGTAGTATTGTCCATCTTATTTTCCATTATCCCAATAGAACCCCAATATAACCCCAAAAAAAACCCAATGCGTACCTAGTCATGGTGATTCTTCTGGGGATCCATGCCCGGAGTATCCGCATAATAGGGGTGAGCCTGACCCATGAAGGCTGTTTTATCTGGTCCTGACGGGGGTCATTGGGGGCAGGTACTGAGGAATCCTTAGAGAGTACTAAGGAGGATTAGCGGTTTAGGGTTCAGGGTTTGGGGTTTTTGGGAGTAACTTCGAATTTTATGGGCCATACTCGCCATGTAACTTCCATGAAGCTATATGATTCTAACAGGGCTCCTTAATCTGTCTCTGTACCCCCCTCCCCCAATACCAATCCGCCGTAATTAAGGATCTTGTAGCTGTTGGGTGACGGTTGTTGAGGGTTTAGGGTCTAGGGCCATCCTGCAAGTGCAAGTGCGAGAGCAGGCTATTGCTCCTGTGAGCAGGTCTTTGGGTGCTAAGGCCTTTAAGCTACTGTAATCAGGAGATCAAATTCTGGAACGCCATATGAAAGCCCCGCACAACCCAGTTGAATTGCATTTTCCATTTGATTCTCCCTTATGGTACTTTAGGACCTGAACCTGAACCCCTAAGCTTCAACCCCAAAACCTTGCAACCCTAAACCCTAAACCCAAAACCCTAGAAGGTACCGGCACTGTTCTGACGGCCGCCACCCGCAGCGCCATCCGTAGCGGCTTAATGGCGGCTGGGTCTGGTCTCCCAGCCTGTACTTACCAGTTCTGCGTAGGGAACAAGGGTACAAAATGCCTAGAACATCCCTAGAAAATGGATTCCTTTGTTCCCTACTAAGCCCCAGTAAGGCCTACGAGTTGTTTTTTATCTCTTGATATATGGTAGGTTTCCCTTGATGGGGAGCCCCAATACAGACCCAAACGATTATACTCCTTCTTATAGGGACTCACGAAAAGGGACCCTTGGATTTGGGAAATCACTCATATAGAATGTTTTTTGGATTTTGGGGGCTTCCACGGCCCGATCCCGGAGAATCAAATGGAAAGGAAATGAATGCAAGGGCTGTACAGGGCTTTATAAGGTGTGAAGGAACTTAAGTTAACTTCCATAAGCTTGAATATGCCGTGAATACGGTGCCTTCCTTCTTGTGGAAATAAAATTCATGCCCCTTGACAGCAACTCAATCCTACAGCTGCATGTCTTGGGGTTGAAGGCTAGAGGTCTCTGAGGTTTCGGATTCAGTCAAAGTTCATGAAACAGAATTTACAAGATTGCCTGTGGTAAAGCCAGATAAGCTTGGGCTTCCACAACTGGATCTGAGATGCTCAGACGGCCGCAATCCCCGCTGTTGTTTCGTACCATGCCCATGTTGATCCTCAGAACTTTGCTGCTAAACATGGGAGGCTGCATGTATGCCTGCCTCAGACGTATCATCCTAGATCCTCCAACTACCCTCTATTATAGCCTAAATACCCACAATTAGGCGCCCTATAATCCCAATTAACGGTACTAGGAGGGTCCAGGATAGAAGCTGAATTCAGTGGAGGTTTCCACCGCTGCACATCTACGTTGAGGGCTTCAATGGCTCCTATCCTTGCCTGTGGGTTTAGGGTTTAGGCCTATCCTTGCTTGTGGGCCTCAAGGTCATTCCTGAAAAGCCGCGCCAGCCACCCCAGCCCTTCTACTGCCGGGTGAGCAAAAGAATCGTCGCTCCCGATGAAAAGTGTACTCTTCAGTTAGGTCTGGCAATTTTAATTCCCTGAACAAAATTTTGCTGTCAAGGGAGGGGGCATCATAGAGGACAGGAGTTTATCTTCTGGAGATTTCTGGAGGCACACCAGGCGCAGTGTTTCTTGGATAGGGGGTTGGTGGGCCTATCTCATCAAGATTCGTGGTATGAGCTGTTTCAACCAGATGCTTGTAAAGATATGTCGAGAGAGCAGGCTTCTCAACAGCGCGGCCCCATCAAGCTGCTTCCCGAGCGTACAAAACTTTACAGCGTAGTAAAGAATTATTCCAGATGTTTGATCATGACTGTCTTTGACCACATACTGCGGTCTTGCATAGGTTCGCCAAACATCCTGAGATAATGAAGGTGTCAGGTATGTCACGTAGTGCGAAAGGGGTTCAAGTTGATTATCGGTTATGACGAAAAAACCTCGAGGTCACGTGGTAGTCTAGAAATTGAGATATTCCTCGCGTTCAAAACAGAGATGCACACAGACCTGGCTGCGTTCGGCACCTGGGCCTGTGGATGAGCCATGCTGTGTGTCCGGGGGGTCTCTGGAAAAGAGCTAACTGTGATTGGCGACCAGGAGGTGGCTGATGTCTCAACACTGAAGCGTTTTCTACGTGAGCTGCATGGCTGGCCACTATGCATGCAAAAGCTTCTGCAGGGAGACAGCATCCTGGATGATTCCACCAAGCTGAAGGGCCCCCTCGAAATCTGCCTGGTCTTGGAGTCCTTATCCTGTCAGGAGAAGCAAGTCATCGTCCAGGCTTCAGCAGAGCTTGCCGACTGTGCTTCGCAGTCAGGCTTGGTGAAGACTGCACGGCTCCTATTGGATGCCGTGGCCGACATGGACATGGAAGAGGTAGACTGTGAGGAGTTCCTCCAAGACGCCTTTGACAAGGCTGCCGAGCACGGCAATGTGGAGATTGCGCGCTTGCTGTTGGAAGCTGGTCTAAACCGTATATGGGACAGAGAGTCTGCAAAGGTCGATGCCTTGTCTTCCGCGGCCAAGCAGGCCAACATAGAGATGGCACGTTTGCTGCTGGAAGGGGATTTCGCCGTAGACTTGGGCAGCCTGCACAATGATGACCGTCTATGCTTGGAGGAGGACTGTCTCGCCATCGTATGTTCGCAAGGTCAGGCAGATTTTTTGCGCCTACTTGTGAAGGCAGAGGTTGACTTAGAGTTTCCTATATCCGATGTCTCACCTCTTTCCTTAGCTGCTGGCAATGGTCATGAGGAAATTTTGCGCTTGCTGATTCAGGGAGGTGCCGCTGTGAACCGTCTGGACCGCACGGGCAACACAGCTCTGACGTGCGCAGCCATGAACGGCCATGTGGAGATTGCACGCATTCTGGTAGATGCCAATGCAGACCTTGACCTGCACAGCCATTGGGCCAAAACAGCAGTGTTTTGGGATCATGGCCGCATGCATCGTTGTGAGGTTGATAAAACAGCTCTTATGTGGGCTGTCACAAGTGGCCACGTGGAGACTGCGCGCTTGCTTCTGAAAGCACAGGCTGACCCAGATGCCCGGCGCCAGCAAGTCCCACCTCTCGCTCTAGCTGCCCGCGATGGTCATGGAGAGATTGTGCGCTTGCTGATTGAGGCAGGTGCCGACGTGAACCGTGTGGACTACAACTGCAGCACAGCTCTGATAGGTGCAGCCATGAACGGCCATGTGGACATTGTGCAGAGCCTCGCAGATGCCAATGCAGACCTTGACCTGCAGAGCCATTGGGGGAACACAGCGGAGTTATGGGAGCATGTGCATGGCCAGAACCACCAGCCTGCAATTCTAAGGACAGCTATTATGTGGGCTGCAACAAATGGCCATGTAGCGGTTACGCGCTTGCTTCTAAATGCTCATGCCAACAAAGACCTGAAGGACATTTCCGGATACACAGCTCTGACGCTTGCGTCGGCAAATGGCCACACGGAGATTGTCGAAATGCTGACGGATGCAGGTGCGGCGAAGTTTGCTCGTGCATCTAAGAGGGTACGTGAGGAGATTTTGCCTGCTGGAACCAATTCCACTTCTTGCTAGCATGCAAGGTCTTGAGGCCAGATGATGTCGTTGGCCAAAATTTAGGGTTGTGAGTTTAGATTTTAATGGCATGACCTAGAAGTTTCTCAAGAATACTCATCAAGCTTGGTTGTTCAGCTGAGAAGTCTGCAGTCTCATGTCTTGCGGCGCCTCATTGCAAAATATGTGCAGCATGTAGGTCTCTTTCAAAGCAGCGGCCCATGGAATGCCCTCCTTTATTGAAAGGGCCCGGAAGGTTTACGAAACTCCCATGTCATTGAACGTCTGAGGAGGAGTTCAGGGCAACATAGCAAGCTGAATGCTTGGAAGTATGTAATTATTGCGCAACATCCAAGTCTAAAGTCATCCACTTCTCTACATTAAGTAGGTGCTATCCAGACCACCGTGCTTCCTTGCCTTGGCAACTGCCTCTTTGGGCTGCGGCAGGGGCTCGTTTGTCGAGGCATGTTGCCCATTGCTGCCCCGGTCGACACTGGCTTGTTGGGGTGTACTTTATGTGGGCTTTCGGTGAGGTCCTCACATTCACAACTCAAACCAAAAGTCTAAACACTAAGACCCGAAGCTACTTAACTCGCAGCGTCAAATCCCGAAACCCATGCGTGTTACCGAAGGGCAAGTCCAACCCCAATTACAAGACGTTCCCCAAAAATGCTCTAATTTCGGAAGCCTTAAACCTCAAGCCCTAAATCCTATGGACCCTAAACAACTCTGTGTGTCCACGTTAGACTTGATTTTTTCATCTTCTCCAAGAACCTACAGACCGAAGCCTGTCAAGGATTCAAGGCTCTGAACAGCCTTGGTGGTGCATGCTTCCATGTTGTCAGGGCTTGAGGGCTTAAGGTCGCCAATGGGACCACTAGTTTTCAGGTTTAGGGTTTGGGGTATAGTGTGCGGCGACCCTGCATAAGAGGCACCGTGAGATCAACATGACTCAAACTGTGCCAGAACCTTGACAGATGCAGATGCTCTTGATTTGATGAGTCATCCCTCACGACAAAGAAACTCCAAGGGGCTGGGTATGATGAATCCCTCATAATTTGCCTCAAATAATATTGCAATGCAAGAAGAAAGCCATACTGGGGGATTCCCTGAAGTGTTGTTCCCCTGGCTTTTCATCACAGTGAAAAGAACGGACAGTGATTTCATGAACTCCCCAAGCAATACATGAGGGATGCTTGGGGGGGTCCGTAAATCCTAAACCCTGAACCCTAAATTCTAAGCCCAAAGCCCTAAGCCTGTTCCAATAGTATCACGTGCTTATCCTCAGCTCATTTTGCCAAGGGCCTGCCCTTCTGCTTGGGTGTGTCGCAATACTAGGTTCCCTCGTTTATTGGGGCTTCCAAAAAGTCAGGGAGCCCATCTGAATTCCCTTTGCTGGGATTGTAATGTCTTGAGGTCTATAGTGGGAATTTACTACGACGTTAGCGCTTTCCCTCTGCTGGGATTGTGATATCTTCGGGTCTATACTAGGTGGGATTTTACTCAAACTTTTTCGGATTCCTCAATTTGATATTAAAGGATCCAAAAGTAAAAAAAATAATTGTGAGACGAATGAGCAACCATGCAAGTATATTTGGCCCAGATATCTGGAAACCCCCATGTCTGCCAAAGGAAGAATGATGCCCCCAGTAGTCAAACAACCCATCTTCCAAACTTATGCTGAGGCCCTTAAGTCCCTAACTCGTAGGTCCAGTATTTGTACCCAGTGTGTCAAATAAACTGAAAGCCCCGCTAACGTCGAACTCCCACTCTGGACTTCGCAGGCAGCTCAGAGAACGTACCCCTGGTTGGCAAGGAATCAAGGAATGGATCCTGTTAGAAGTCTAACCCCCAACAATTAATAGAACAGGCGGTCACTTTCTTTCCTTTTCCGTCTTTTCCCTGCTAGCCAGAGGTAAGCTGGCTGAATTGCATACGAAGTTCTGGAATGATTTGGGTCATGCCCCCTCACGGTAACTGTCGTGGAAGGGGTCGTGTTAAGGGTCATTATAGCTCCTGTTACCCATTGCGCAAACTGTTGCTGTAAGCGGAAACAACCCAAGGTTTCATTGACTCCAGGCATCTTTCTTCCCTTTGTGAATGCAGACCTAGCGATGAACTCGCTGAACCTCAAGCAAAACCATAAGAGTCCAAGCACCCAAATGATCAAAGTGCTCAAGACCAAAAAAAAGTATCTAATCATACGGGAACTTCTTAGACCCTTGTAATTTGTAAAGCCCCCAAACCCGAAACCTTGTTAGGTCTCAATTTCGCGGGTCCGATCTCGGTTTGGGCACATGGCCTTACCTCGCGGCTGTCCCAGTGGAAAGTTGACACGTTGGTGTTGGATGCTACTACATGATTTTCGGTTTAGAGCCCAAAGCTGTGGCTTTGAGAGCGGGTTTCCAAAAAAAATTGGGGTGCCATGGAGTCCCCATGGGTCAATATTGGGAGAGCCCTTTTTCGGGAAACTACCATGTAGGGCTTGTCCAGAATGAAGGGTTTAAGGGCCAGGGCCTAGGACTTTGTTGAGATCTCTGCAGGGTCGAGCTCTACGTCTTGGGTGGTGCTGGGGTAAGGCGATGATAAGCCATAATCTACACTTAAAGGGGGCTATATAACGGATTATATAGGTGACTAGTATAGGGATAATGATGGGGGATATTTGGAGTTTAGACTATGTCTCATATCGTATCCAGATGTTTTGTATGAAGGTCAACGTGTCACTGTGTCACCAAGGGAATGACCCGTATAAGCAAGGCCCCCAAGATCCAGCTTTGCTTGCACCCACACACCCTGTCTGCGCCTGTTGTTGAAAGAAAGCGCCTCACACCTTGGCTTCCCCAAAGGGTCCGTGTAGCTAAATAGTATACAGTTTGGGGTTTAGGGCTTGTAGGGTTTAGGATATGCTTGTGCCCCAAAGTAGGTACATGGTAAACCATTTGTGCCCTAAGTATATACTGTATGCCTGCACGGACCCTTTGAATGACACTGCAACCTGCAACGTGAGCCCAAGGCCCTGCCGCTCTTGCCACGTCATACTCACTAGTCACTAGGTCTTACACAGGTGGCAGTTTCCATGGTGAGAGGGCTCTATATAGATCCCAAAACACCAATTATGACCCTCACATTATGAGGACCCCCAAAACGTACCTCTTAAGACTGCACGAGCCAGCCTCACTTTCAGCGTATTCATCACCAACTGGATTCAGGCCTCATGCAAAACTTATAAATAAACTTCAGCCAGACTTTTGTTCATGGACTGCTGCTACCAGCTTGCAAATGCTAGGAGGCATACATTCCAAGGCGCCCAATGCATCCTAAACTTTTAGACTGATATGAAATGTAGGTTGTACAAATGATGGGACATCTTTGGGCCACCATTATGGTACGGTCCTTAATCGCACCCAAAAGAAGATCCATAATTTTTCACAACCCCCCATGGGAGACTCCTGACACCGGCAAGTCACCCCAAACCCAAAAACCAAATCTAGGGACCTATTTCATTAACGTGGGGTTCTGGGAGTACCGTATATTATTCTAGCATTGTAGATGGGTTATGAGGAAATGGGACTGGGAATTATGCAGGCGTCTACAGCACCTAAACCCTAAACCTAAATCACTATATTTCCGTATTTCCGTAGGTTTCCACAACGTGTCCTTTTCTCGTTGATTTGAGTCTCCATTGTTTTTTCAAGCTTCTACCCTAAAGCCTTAAGTTCGGGTTTAGGGTTTAGGGTCCCTAATTAGAAACCTCAGCATCCCTCATACTAAATACCCCCTAGTTCCCATTATAGACATGGGGCAGGGCAATCTTTATCATTAGGGTAGCTGGGAGGATGTTATTAGTAGCGCTAAACCCTAAACCCTAAAATAATTGCCATTTGATTTTCCATCCCCCTGTAAATACCCAAGCCCGAAACAGTGTATAACCCTTTCTCATGAACCCCTTTTCGGATTAACAACTCAACGGAGGCCGCTGGCTTGGGAAGCAACATTACTGCGCGGATCGTTAGCACAGGTTGGAGATGGTGGGAGTAAGAGTTTGAAGCCCTGAAGTACCAAGCACCCCGCCAAAAAACATAAATCTAGGGGCTAGCACAGGAATGTCTGTGATTAGGGTTTTTGGGCGGGGTACTTACTAGGAGTGATGAGAGATTTTCAGGGGACAGTTCTGGCCTTGGGTAAGTAGAGTCTCTGGCTAGTAGCCCCGTACCCAAAATGGTCTATGTGTTCAAGATGGAATGAATGCTTGGCTACCAAAATAGTTTCCTAGGAGCCCCTCTAGATGGAACCATTATTGTTTACTTTGATGACTTGGGTGCTTAGAGTTAGAGCGATGGGCTGGTGCCATAACTTACCAGGAGCCACCTCCCAAACTATTTCTAAACCCTAAACCCGCCCGCAACAAAGATATACACCCCTTACCCTGAATCCCCAACTTTCCGCTCATAAACTCTAGAACCTTCACGCTTCATCCTAACACCCTATCCCGTAAACGCTGAAGCCTCCTAGACTGAGCCATTTGTCAAGCCTTGTCTACATGTGGGGTTTTCCTGACATTTAGAGTCCCTTAAAAGAGGTGATATAGGGGCACAAGATTGTAACTGTGTATATGAGCGTATTCAGGGTTAACGGGTTTAGGGGAAAGCCCCACGTTCTGTACACAGGGTACTCTGGTCCTGCCAGCTTTGTTGTGTTCGAATGGCTAGAACGGAATCTTGTGTTCTCAGTTGTAGTAAGAACCGTCATAGTAACGATAGGAAAGAGCTGTAGCAATAGTAGTAAGAACTGAGAACAACTAACAACTGTAGTATGTGTCTTTTACGTATTGCACGCTGCTGGGTCCATGTTTGAATTTGGCAGAGCGATTGTGTGGCTTTGTGGTATCTGTAGATCACATCCAACTCGAGGCAATAAATTGTGATATCTTGAGGAGGCTACATTTCCCCATTAGATGTACTATGTACCCACTTGCTGCTAAGCCTAAACCCTAGACCCTACAAATCCCATTCTAGTGT